AGATCATCAGTTACTGGTACCAGTGACAGGATAAATATTAGCCAGGACAACAAGGACATTCCTAATCTTAAATAATCCTGTTCGTTTTTTTTGTATATATGAGAATGCAGATAAAGATTTGCTCTTATGTCACATCTGTCGAGCATCCCTTCTAACATTGTAGTACTCAGAGGCAATGACCTAGTGGTATTCTCACTGGACTGTTAATCCAGAGCCCCAGGCAATGTTCTGGGGACCTGTGTTCAAATCCTGTCATGGCAGATGGTGGAATTTGAATTCAGTAAAAATCTAGATTTAAGAGTCTAATGATGGGAATCCATTGCCAATTTTCAGGAAAAACCCATCCGGTTCACTAATGTGCTTTAGGGAAGGAAACTTACCTGGTCAGGCCTACATGTGACTCCAGATTCTCAGTAATGCGGTTGACTCTTAACTACCCCTGATGGACAATAAATGCTGGCCCAGACAATGATGTCCTCATCCTGTGAATGAATTTTAGAAAATTCACAGTTCCATTTTATTAGGGAACAAAAAGTGTAATGTTTCTAGAGGAGAGTTTGAATCCATGACCTATTTCAAGTGTGCACCATCATGGAATACTCTCTAATCGAGTGAATTTCATGCTCTCAAGATGGTCAAAACCGTACCAGTTAAAAAGTGTCTTTTGCATTGTGTCAGTAAGAGAATTATACAGAAGAGTAACTGAGATGGGACGAATAAACCAGTTAACATCATAGCATTGGGTGGAGAGTAAAATGCTGGACAAGGCTCTAGAAGAACAATCACAATTGTAAGTACAAAAGGATATTTTATAACCATCTGCTCTCTTGCCTGGCTGAAAGAATTTTGGCTTACCAGGTAAATTGACAAGATCGAGATCATGTAAGAATTCATCAGAATAGCTCACAATCCTGGACCATCTCTGATGAACTTTTAATTAAAATATGTTTGTAAAGAGATACAGCAAAAAGCTGATAGCCATTTATAGAGAATATCTGGAATGTCACACCTAAAAGTGTTAAGGAAGATTCAAAGGGAGAATTGCACTGCAAATTGACCGTAATCTCCTGTAAATACCACAGATTGTGATGAGAGATTAGACAGCAAATTGTGCAAAAGAAGTGTTTTTGCTTTCCACTTTCAAGAATTCACAAGGACAAGGGTTAAAAACCAGTTTCAACCCTGGTTCGAGTGTGCTCCTCAGCAGAGCTACTATAATGGGTTTGAGCCCGTGTGCTATGAAAGTCACAGTCACCCGCTAATCGCCAGTGTGTTGCAGGTAAAGAATCTTCAGTGCTAGAAGCCAATCGAAAGGAAACAGGACAAGAGAGTTTTAGTTAACCTACAAAACCAAGAATTGCAAATCAACTGCTCAACTTTCAACATTCTATCATCTACTCTTCATGAATAACATGGAGTCCGTTCCACATTTTTTTCTTCTAAGTTTCCTTTTGGACTTGCTTCTCATCTGTAATCTACATGTTACAATTTTATTTCATATTCTTAATAAGTAATAAACTCACCCAAATCAAGGTCGAAGTTAAATCGACTGCTTTTTAGATCATAGAATCCCTACAGTGTGGAAACAGGCCCTTCGGCCCAACAAGTCCACACTGACCCTCAGAACATCCCACCCAGACCCATCCCCCTATAAACCCACCTAATCTACACATCCCTGAACACTACAGGCAATTTAGCACGGTCAATCCACCTAGCCTACACATCTTTGGACTGTTGGAGGAAACCAGAGCAAACCCACACAGACACAGGGAGAACGTGCAAACTCCAAAAAGACACAGTCACCCAAGGGTGGAATCAAACCCGGGTCCCTGGCGCTGTGAGGCAACAGTGATAACCACTGAACCACCGTGCCGCCCAAGTTAGAACAAGTTAGTTTGGTCTGGCAGAAAGGTATCCACGAGGGAGGGAATCGTTTGTAAATTAACTTTGTTGCAACAAGTTGAGAAGCCAGGTGAATAAAAGGGATCCCACGAGATGCGGGGTGATCAGGAAAATTCAACACAGAGATTACCCATCTCGAACTGGGGTAAAGTTAGGGAACCTGACCCAAGGACTGGTTGTAACAAGAAAGCTGGATTTTACAAAATGACTGCCTTTTAATTCAAGGTAAAATTGCTAGTTCTGGAAGAACTTCAGCTCAGAGCGATGTCTATCTGATCGGGTTTCATGCAGAGGAAACAAAAGCTTAGTGAAATGTCAAGTGAGCGTTCACACCTTCAAGCAGTAACTCAGATAAAAGGGACAGCTGTTTAGAAGACAGGGCAAAACAGCTGCTACGGTGGAGAAAACAGAATGACTGCTTTGTGCTAATAACCCAGGAGGAATGCTGCAAGAGGTCATTTGCCTGTTCAGGAGGGAGTCACAACTCTTTGATTTGAGAGAGGGCATTGCTGGTGAAAATTGGAAAAAACACTGAGTGGAAAAACTTTAAGAACACAGGAAGGTTTAATCCAGTCAAGTAGGGATAATTGAACCTAAAGTTACTTTGGACTCATTCCTCCAGCAGAAGTGCGGTGAAAGGCCTGCAAAAGTGCACCTTAACAACATTAAAGTTGAGGAGTACTTTGTTTGCTATCCTCGCTTAACAGACAGCAATGTCCAATCTATATTCTCTGTAAGTTTGTCTTTAATAAAAAAATCTTCTGTTTTTGTAGGGAAATGGTTGCTACAGGGGTTGTAATAATAATGCAAACACTAAACAATGGTCCCAGAAACAATTCCTGGGAAACAGTGCAGATCATAATCCATGTGTAGACTCCCTTCCCAACTAGTTCAATACAGTGGATACAAATACCAATGGTGTTGATCTTGGAAGAAACTTTTATCATAGGCTAGACTCCCCACAGTGTGGAAACATGTCATTCAGCCCAACAAGGCCACTCCAACTATCCAAAGAGCATCCCACCCAGATTCACCCCCTACCCTATCCCTGTAATCCTGCATTTCCCATGGCTAATTCCTCCTAGCCTACATATCCCTGGACACTACAGACAATTTAGCATGGCCGATCCACCTATCCTGCACACTTTTGGACTGTGGGAGAAAGGAACAGAGAATGTGCAAACTCCACACAGACAGTTGCCCAAGACTGGAATTGAACCCAGGTCTCTGGTGCTGAGGCAGCAGCACTAACCCCTGAGCCAATGTGCTGATCAACCTTAAAGACCAACTGGCAATGCCATCTTGATGCCTCCAATTGGAGGAATTGATGTTTATAAAGAACACGTGCTTGTTGCAGTTGTAAAAAAAAAAATTGTGGCTTCCATTACTCAATGAAAATAAAAAAAAAGGAGCCACCATTTCCTGGTTTCATCTCATCTTCAACTCCTAAAATTTATAAACAGCTGCCCCAGATTGCAGCAAGTTTTAACTATGGGCTAGGGCCTAGTGCAGCCACTGTCCAAAATAGGGATCAGGTGACCAATCCAGCCTGACATTTAAAATATGCGTAAAGAATGCTGGCTTTGCATCAAATGGAGCAGCATAGTGAAATAAGCACTTTGCATAAAGGATAACTGCAGACTGAAACAAGAAAATACAACCAGCAGTAACTCTAAGTAAGCTGGAAGCCCAGCTGTCAACAGTAAATCAATCTGGATTAGCACTGGAACTAAGTTTATTCTAAAACAGAAAGCACCTACAAGCTAATAATTGTCAACTTAAGTCTTCACTGACCACTAAGAATCTGAATCTATGGCATACCACACTTGTAAAAAGCAAACTTTAAAACAGACATGAAATGCAAAAGAAAAAAACCAGACTTCCCTCAGAAGGGAGACCAACTCCTGTGGGTTTATACACCAGACTGGACAGAAGGATGGGATAGTAAGAACTGCTGATGCTGGGATCAGAGATAAGTGTGGAGCTGGAGGAATGCAGCAGGCCAGGCAGAGTAGGAAAGTTGACATCTCAGGTCAGGACCCTGACCTGAAATGTCAGCTTTCCTGCTGGACAGACTGAAAGGTTTGTTTTACCCTCATCTGGCAATTCTAAATACCCACAGGCTGTGTGTTAGAGATGGTGTATGAATGTGGACTAGTGTGCTGTGACGGTCCTTGTGAACAGTCATTATACACTTCGTGCAGTGTGTAAAGAGATGTGTAAAGAGACACTAGATTGGTAGAAGCTATTGTCAAAGAAAACTTGTCAGCTAGCTTGCAGAGCCAGATTCTAAACCAATTGCTTCACAGTTACCAGTATCTAGCTTAGTTGGAATTTTCCAACTTGTACTTGCTACAGAACCCAGGGACTAGCTTGTGTTTTTATTTCTCCCCCTGCCTTCAAACTGTTTTAGGTGATCACCCCTTTAACTCAAAGCCCAGTTAATTTGACCCTTTTAAAAAAGGTTTAGACTCAGGAAGAGATTTTAAATTGGAAAAACAAAAGAAAAAAAAGAGTTAGGAGAGCTCACTCTTCCTTCCTTATCCAGCAGTATAAGGATTTGGGGGCATCCCATTCAGAATCCAAATTTATTGCATGCCCTTGATCACAGACTGATTAACTTGTGTTTGTGTCCTGGAACTACAAGCTAATTAATAAACCTGGAATTTAAGCTAGCCTTTGTAAGGCAGCATATGCCAAAAACCCATTTTGTTCTAATATCTAGAATTGCATATCAGATGTTTCATTCATGGACAGATGTGGAGGTAACTAGCCAAGATGGAACTTGCCAAACCCAATTGCCAAAGGTCAGTTAAGAACCATATTGCTGTGGCCTGGAATCACATGTAGGCCAGATTAAAGACAGTTCAAAATTCAAAGAACTTTAACAAATTCATAGTCTCATTATAGATTAGATTAATGCCAAATGATCCTAGACCAGGGGTATCATCTCCTGTGGAGAGGAGAGCCAAGAATGAATGAGTCCATTAACCATGGGTAAAAAATGCTGACTTTTATCAGCAGTGCTGATTAAAGGTGAAGTTGCCTATAAACCAACACTAGGCTGCCAGAGGTACAAACTCAGATAAAAAGTTAACTAGGTTCAGTGACTTTATTATACAGTTGGTTTGAAGCCATCTCTACATTGATTATGCAGTTGGTTACTTTTTCATTGCCTTTGCAGCTGACTTGGTCACTTTACTAGGTCCAGCAGTTTTTTTATCTACTGCCTTGATCACTCCAACAGCCACCGTCTGCCTCATGTCTCGTACTGCAAAACGACCTGCAAAGAATAGAGATCAGTTTTATCTAGTGTTGAGGGCGGGTTATAGACAAAGCCATAAAGTTGCTCTTTCCAAAGAGATGTTTGTATCCATTCGTGATGAGTGGCAAACAAAAAACTATTAAGTCATGTTGCAGCCATAGAGCTGTATAGTTAGGGCACACTTGGATTACTGTGTACAGCTCTACCAGAGATGTAAAGGCTTTGAGGGTACAGAAACATTTACCATTTTGTCACTTGGTTTGAAGTGCATTTGCTATGAGGAGAGATTGGACAAACTTGTTTTCACTTGAAAGAAAAAAGTGAGGAGTTACCCAATAGAAGTTTAAAATGGAGGGGCATGATAGAATGGATAGTTGAAGCCCTTATCTACAGGGTAGTTAGTTATTAAGTGACATAAAGGTAAAAAGGGGTAAATTTAAAGGAAAGAGACTTTTAAGTGGCAAGTGCCTGGAATGCACTGCCAGAGATGGAGGAGCTGGATACAATAGTAACATTTAGAGGAATGTTGACAGATATTACAGGCAGGGAATACAGATTGCACAAATGCAAAGTGTATTTTGTTTAGAAAAGCACCATGTGTTGTCAGTCTTGGTGGGCTGAAAGCCCTGCTCTGTTCTAAGGGACACTCATTCCTACCTAATGGGAGACCTGGCATGCACTACCATAACCAGGGACAAGACAAATCAGATGCTCTAAAAATTACCTTGATCAAGGTAATGTGCACAACTATGGGAAGAGAACAGAATGCAGCACCTAGGTGTATAAAGGTGCAGGAACTGAGGCCTGGTCTGATGGGCAATATTAATTGTCAAGAGACAAAAATAAGAGGGAAAATCTTACAAGGGGATTATGTTGGCTAAATGATTCATCTACTAGACAGGTCATGGTGCTAGTTACAAGTTTGTCTAAAGCCTCTTGTGGCAGGAATTAGTGGCAGAGCTGCTGGGATCTGAAAGTGAAGGGGGCATAGTTCAGTCAGAGGTTGGTAGAAAGCAGTCCTGTTTGGTGTGATCTGCATCAACTGACAATGTATGCCATGTCAGTTCTGAGCATGGGCTATCTTGCAATCCAGTTGGTGTAAAAAAGTGGGAGGATTAAAGGAGCCATGAGTGCCCACCATCTAGGAAGATAGTGCTTCAAGCCAAGTCCATGCACCATCAACATGAGAAATTCCCCTATAATGATGGAGATGTTGCCTTATTTTTCAGCTGAAGCTGAAAATTGTTTGTTTGATGGTGGGGTGGAGGGTGATGGGAGGAATGGATCTGGTGCCAATTCAGCACAAGTTGGGGGAGGGGTGGGCAGAGTGGTAAGCACAGAATAAGTGTCCCAGAAAATGGAGTTTCTCTGGGTCTTAGGGAGTTGCTGATTAATGGAGGCAGATCAAAATTCAATTGTGCAATATTTTAAGTTAAGTTATCTAGTATTCCAGCTACTGGATTCAATTGTATTAAAACTGTTTGCAGTGGAAAGAACAAACAAAAAAGTTTACATTCTCACCAAGGGGAGGGTAAGTAGAGAATGTTTCCACACACATTGGTTTCCCTGGAATCATCACAATGATGCCAGCATCTCCAGATTTCAAGCTCTTCGGGTTGTCCTCCAGCTTCTTGCCAGATCGACGGTCAATCTTCTGCTTCAGTTCAGAGAACTTGCAGGCAATATGTGCAGTGTGGCAGTCTAGTACAGGTGAGTAGCCAGCATTGATCTGTCCAGGGTGATTCAGAATGATCACCTGGAAAATTACAGTCAATTAGAGTACAGAATTCTATTGCACCTCCAGCTAGTAGTGTAGTAAGGATTACAGGAGACAGTGACAAGTGCTTACCAAGCAAGCTTGAAAGTGTATGCAAGATTTTAAATCACATACTGCTAAGATATGTTACCATTGGAATGTGTATACCAAGTTTGTCAAAAATTGAAGTGTTTTTGAATTATAGTATTTTTAGATCCAAAGTTTGGACACAGGACTCCCTGCTCCTCTACAGGAGGAGGATTTAACTCAGGACAGTTGGAATGTTAGTACTTGAAATTCACATCCTGTCACACTGGACTTATGTCAAAGTCTATTGTTCTAATTAGTAGATATAGATTCCATTTGCTAGTTTTACTGTTTGTCCCCCCATTGGATCCAAAGCCATGTTACTCTTTCAATTACAGCTCCCAGAATATTCTGCTTTTATCTTCAACTGACTAATTGCTGTCATAAATGGATGATATCCCCAAATGACACCTGTCAAGTTCAGTAGGTCTGTTTAGAATAAAAAACCAAAAGATGTTTGAATGTGAATATGGAGAATAATTCACTGTGGGCCTCATGTTTAGTCCAGAGAAACATTGGAATGGCAAGGAACCTTATGCTTGAAGATGCAGTGCCAAATCTGAATTGTAATCTTGGAGTGGAGGCCAGTTTTTGTTGACATTGTAACAGGAGTGTCACCCTAGTCTGAGGGCAGAGGTAAAAGTAAGCACTTTCAAAAATTTCTCCTTCCAGCTATGCAGGAGAGAAGGTATTAAAAATGCCTGTAATCCAGGTCTGTATTAGTGTGATGTAGTTCTGTAGGGCTGGTGTTGTGAAGGTCACAGCTGAGGACCTCCACCAGGCACCACTGCACTTAGTGCAAGGAAGCCACTGAGGGGGGAGGGTGGAAAGAGATCCTCCTTTACCCACTGCCATAGGAGCACCTCCTGCACCCTTCCTTTGTTTAACCTGCCAAACTAAAATCTCCCAACCGTCAAGGCAAGCACACCAGAACTACAAATTAGTTGTGACATTTCATATTACACTAAGACAGATTTATATGTTTATTCAAAATATCCTATCTTCCTCACCAAGACCATATAAATGTAAACAGTAGGCTGTTCTGCACTTGGTGTGAGGGAGAGTGTAGACTCAACAGGTTATTGTTGATTACTCCAGTTCCCAAGCAGTACTGGAAGTTAGTGGCCAACTGCCAACATGGTAAATTAAGGCCATTGATTTTGCTCACCTGGGCTGTAAAACTTCCTGATTCCAAAGGAGGATCATTCTTGCTATCTCCAGCCACATTACCACGTCGAATATCTTTTATCGACACATTCTTGACATTGAACCCAACGTTGTCTCCAGGCACAGCTTCTACTAAAGCCTCATGGTGCATCTCCACAGATTTCACTTCAGTGGAGAGGTTAACAGGAGCAAAAGTCACCACCATTCCAGCCTTCAAGATTCCTGTCTCAACTCTGCCCACTGGCACAGTACCAATCCCTGAATGTGCAAAGTGTTACAATTTAATTTTTGATGTTTGTTTGCAAGGTAATGTTCACAATTGAATTGAAACTCACCTCCAATTTTATAGACATCTTGTAGGGGGAGGCGAAGAGGCTTGTCTGTTGGACGTGACGGGGGAAGGATGGCATCTAGAGCTTCCAGCAGTGTTGTGCCAGCAGCATTGCCTTCCTTTCGGTCCATTTTCCAGCCTTTGAACCAAGGCATCTGTAATGAGTGTATCAGATGCATATGTTTATGGAATAAAATTGGAAACCCAAGCTAGGAGAACAAACTTATTCAAAAAAGGTCAAGTCATAACTGCAAGAACTTAAAGTTGAATTTAACCATGGAAGCTTAAGTAGGAGGTCTCCTAAGGCAATGAATACTGCAATAGAGATCTTAAATCTGGTTTAAGTCATTGTTAAATAAAAGCAAAAACTACACCTCAAAAAAAGGGAGGTCAAAAAAGGTGGAAGGCAATTAAACTGATCAAACAAATCTGACCCTGGATCCGCTTGTAGTAATCAAGTGTCAACATTAAAGGCATTTTGTAACTGATTTGTGCTCTAGCGGTAAATGGCTTTATTGTCCACTCCCTGCTTTGTAAAGTCATCCAAAGACAGAAGTTGCTGCCTGCATAGAATCAGAGCACAATAGATTGAATTACAGGATTCCATGTTGCATAGGAGGATTGTTCAATTTACTCATGACAACTGTTGCCATTGTTCAGTTCTATATTTAAGTGTGTACCATCTGGAGATGGTCACACCATGGCTCATGTAAACCTGTGTACACAGGCAATTTGGTGATGGAAAAAGCATCTAAGGTGGGTGAGATCACTTTTGCATGCAAGTGAAAAGAAAGCCTGGTGTCTTGAAAGCCCATTTCTCAGCAAACTACCAGTATTTACCCTTACTTTATTCTGCTAGAGAATTGTTTTAAATTATCTTCATCTGCATAATCAACATTGGGCTAAATGCCTGTTCTGTAGTTGCAATACTAGGCAGAGATCTTGCCTGGTTATTCATTGACACAAGTGTTCTCACTCACTTTTTTGCTGGGTTCCAGCATGTTGTCCCCATGCCATCCTGAAATTGGTACAAAAGCCACCCCAGCAGGATTGTATCCAATCTTCTTGATGTATGCACTCACTTCTTTCACAATTTCTTCATATCTCTTGCTGCTGAAGTGAGGCTCTGTGGAGTCCATTTTGTTGACTCCAACAATTAGCTGCTTTACACCCAAGGTGAAAGCTAGGAGTGCATGTTCCCGAGTCTGTCCATTCTTTGAAATACCAGCCTCAAATTCACCTACACCTGCAGCCACAATCAACACTGCACAGTCAGCCTGCAAACAAATTCAGTTTCATTAGATGGAGAGTTAGGATCATCATCTATTAGATGACAAAATAGAGACTGTCTCATCATAAAGGAGGGTTACAACATTGAAGTATAATATTGCCCCCATAGCATAGCCAAGTTAAAATGTGGTTGCAGGAAGGGGGACATACAAAATGTTACCTTAAAGTGAATTGATTCTAATTTCACTGGTTTGTGATGAGCAGTTAGAATGTTACATAACTAGGTTAGCAAAGGAGGTGGCTGGAGACTATAAAGTGGTTAAGAGTTTTAACTACTGCCCCAGAACAAAGATGCACTGAGTGTAGGGTGCCTTTGTAAATTGGTACAATTCTATTAGCTGTGGTGGAAGAATGTGTTCAAATGGTTTTACATAGTTGGTGCCTTGACTCAGTCAAAGTGCCAAAGTAATGCAATTTCAGTATTACTAATGTCCCCACACTCAATCCCTTGATTTTTCCTCAAGACCTCCATTTATTTCACTTCTGAAAGAGGAGTGCAAGGCCCATTAAACATCCGGTCCTCAGACCTACAGCTTTGTGAAGCTACTGTTTGTTGGACACATACCTGAGAGGTCCCAGTGATCATGTTCTTTATGAAATCCCTGTGTCCAGGTGCATCAATGATAGTGATGTAGTACTTAGTTGTTTCAAACTTCCACAAGGAAATATCAATAGTAATACCACGCTCCCTCTCAGCCTTCAGTTTGTCCAGCACCCAGGCATACTTGAAGGAGCCTTTACCCATCTGCAAGATAAGTGCTAAAAGTCTAAGCAATTAACAATTTACTTTGTCAGAAACATTTATCAAGTTCTTACTGGGCCCAAAAAATCTTGCTGTGCTCCCAGCTTCAAGTCAATTTCTTTGGTATGCACAGATAATGCCAAATAGTTTCTGAAGTCCTTTACACGAAGGATAAACATCATTTTAGGTGAAGAGTGCAGGTTTTGAGCACTTTGAAGTTAAATCAATCCAATTGATTAGTACAAGTACTATTTGCATATATTCAGTTAAAATATATGTTAATTTCAATTTAAATGCTTTAATAGATGGTTGTTTATAGCCATTTATAATCCCACCTATTTTGACAGTAACAATAACTTTCCTGTCTAGGATACAGAAATACACCACCAGCTTTGAAGAGAAACACTGATTGGAATGCAATTTTAATAATGATTTAACACCATGCATTCATTACTTCTAATGGGAAGAGGAAGAGAAAGAGAAATAAGACATCGGGATGTACAAGGTGGACACTGGAACCATAGTGGGTTATTACCCTTTGTACACATCCAAAGGGAAGTTCTCTGTTGGATGAGCAACATTTTTAACTAAGAGGGAACTGCAAGACAACTTGCGATAGAGGGGCACATTTGGGTGCAACTAGTAGCTTCAGTCACCAAAGAGCAGTTCAAGGAGAAAGAATGTAAAGGAAGTTTAACACAGATATAGGAGCTAAATTAGGCCATTCAGCCCATAGAAGATAGGTCTCAAAATCTATTCTTCAGTCTTCATCTAAAAACTCCCAATCTCCTTCCCAATTGGAAGGACTCAATGCCTTGGCCTCCACAGCCCCCTGCAGCAATGAGGGCCACAGATTCATCACCCTCTGAAGAAATTCCTCATCTGTCTGAAAGGGCCACCCCTTCATTGAGGTGGTGTCCTCAGGTCCTAGTCTCTACTACTAGCAGAAAGATCTTCTCCATAGCCACTCCATTCAGGAGTGAATAATCTGTACATTTCAGTGAAATTCCCCTTCATCTTTCTAAACTTCATTGAGTATGGATCCAGAGTCCTTAACCACACTTCTTGAAAAGCCCTTCATCCTGGGGAAGATTCTGGTAAACTTCCTCTAGGACCCCCAACACAACTTTGGGGTAAAAGATAGCTCTTCACAGCTCAAGTTTACCAAGTCATAAGTTTATAGGGTCAGGGTTATACAACATGGAAACAGACCCTTTGGTTCAGGACATCTGATCAGCATAGATGAGCCAGACCAATCTGGTCCCATATCCCTCTACACCCTCCCTATTCATATACCCAAGCAGATGCCTTTTAAATATTGATTGTACAAGCCTCCACTTCTTCTAGCAAGAGATTCCAGACATCCAGCACCTTCTGCTTGAAAAAATTGCCTCTCAGGTCCCTTTTAAATCTTTCCCCTCAGTTTGGACTCCCCACCATGGGGTGGGGGGGGATAAAAAGCCTTGTCTATTCACCTTATCCATACCCCTCATGATTTTAAAAGCCTCTAAAAAGTCACAGCTCAGCCTCCAACATTCCCAGGAGAAGAACAGCCCTAGCCTATTTACCTTCTCCATATAGGCTCAATTTCTCCATCCCTGGCAACATCCTTGTTAACCTTTTCTGCACCTTCTCAAGTTTAGCAACATCTTTCCTACAGCAGTTGCTTGAATCAAAATCATAGAAAACTGACTATTCTGCTGGGTAATCAAGTACCAGTTGAAATATTCCCTGTAAAAACAGACTCAATTATAATTCATAGTGCAGGTATTAGGCTTCCACAGTGCTGCTTGCATTAGAAATGCATGATGTGTTACCCAAATGAGATACAAAGCTATATTTTTGAAGCTATTGTTATGAAGCAAATATTTGCAGAATTTGTTTCTTGTCTGCAAGACAAGATGACCATAAGATATTGGACCAGGAATGCAGAGATAGTAGGAACTGCAGATGCTGGAGAATCTGAGATAACAAGGTGTAGAGCTGGATGAACACAGGCGACCGGTTTGCAGAACACCTACACAGTTTGCACTAAACAACTGCACCTCCCAGTCACAAACCATTTCCACTCCCCCTCCCATTCCACAGACAGCATATCCATCCTGGGCCTCTTGCAGTGCCACAACGATGCCACCCAAAGGTTGCAGGAACAGCAACTCATTCCGCTTGGGAACCCTGTGGCCCAATGGTATCAATGTGGACTTCACAAGCTTCAAAGTCTCCCCTCCCCCTACTGCATCCCAAAACCAGCCCAGCTCATCACCTCCCTAACTTGCCCTTCCTCCCACCCCCATCTACCTACTAAACTCATCCCACCTCCTTGACCTATCCATCCTCCCTGGACTGACCTATCTCCTCCCTACCTACACTCACCTTTACTGGCTCCATCCACCACTTTGACCAGTCTGTCTCCTCTCCACTATCCATCTTCTATCCACCTCCCCCTCCCTATTTATTTCAGATCCCCTTCCCCATTTCTGAAGAAGGGTCATCTAGGCCAAAAACATCAGCCTTCCTACTCCTCTGATACTGCTTGGCCTGCTGTGTTCATCCAGCTCTACACCTTGTTATCTCTGGACCAGGAATACAACTGTTTTAAAAACAAAAAACTAGATAAAAAAAAATTAGTATTCACCACAACCCTGCCATAGAAGAAACAAATAAAAGCCAAATCCATCTCACAACTAACTGCCATTAAAAAACACAGGATACCTCAGCAGCTTCTTTTTCAAATTTTTCAATAGTCCTCTTGTCAATGCCACCACACTTGTAAATCAAGTGACCAGTGGTAGTAGATTTACCAGAGTCCACATGGCCAATAACCACAATATTAATGTGGGTTTTCTCTTTACCCATAGTGATAGCAACTCAGAGAAAATACAACCACTTTTGAAAAAAAAAAGTGGAAGAATGCTATTCCTACCAAGAGCAGCATTTATATTAGCTGACCAGCCTGCCCTATGGACAGCTGAAAATAATGAACCAACAAATTGCAGTTGTTAACAGTCAATTAGAAAGTCTGGTTGAAACACTTGCTGATTAACTAGGATAATTAATCCTCAAACAAAAGCATTGAAACAACAATTGAACCCTTTATGAAGAATAATGACCAAATTCTAATAAATATTCTCAAAGTAGAGTTATGGCAGAGTAGGGCTCCTCTGGTATAGTGGTAATGTTCTTGGTCAATGAGGTAAATAGACCTTGGTTCAAGTCTCACCCTGCTCAGAGGTGAGTTATAACACCTTTGAACAGTTTGATTAGGCAAATACTACTGGTAGATAACCTCCATGCATGTGTAGAATTTGTTGTGTAAAATAAAGTCCCAGTTGCAAGAAATTTTTTTTAATGGTACAGACTGGTGGGCTTTTGTGGTACAGTGGTTGTGTACCTACCACTGGACCAGGAAATCTTAGTTCAAATTCCACCTGTCTGGACGTGTGGCATAACATGTCCAAATAACTTGATTCTTAATAATGTATGATGCTGTTCTGGTGGACATTCCAATGGTGGTGTTCCTGCCTGTGGGTCAGAAAGTCTGGGTTCAAGTCCATCCTGTGCCAGAGGTACATGACAAGTTTGGCATTTACAAATTTAAGACTGAGATAGATAGGTTCTTGATTATCAAGGGTTATGGGGAGAAAGCGGGAGAATGGGGTTGAGGAACTTATCAGCCATGATTGAATGGCGGAGCAGACTTAATGGGCCAAATGGCCTAATTTCTGTTCCTATGTCTTATGGGTCATAGGTTAGCCTGAATTGATTTCTGTTTTATTTCAAATTTCCAACATCCGTAGTTGTTTATTTCATATTTATTTGTGTGTTATTGCAGGCTGGTTAAAAGTAATTTATAGGACTGTTCTTTTTATCTATTCATCACTTTTCTCTCTCTCTGTCCGGATAGTCGGTCGTAGGCATGGCTGGAGAACAGAATCAGGTTGATGGGCTGAATAGCATCCTGGACCAGCACTAACCTGGGTCTGTCAATAGCCATTGTGGCCAGACTGGCAGCAGACCCATGAGGACATCCTTTGACCCATCCGAAACCTTCACAGCAGGTAGCCAGAAATCAGAAACATAGGACTTAAGGGCTGCCAGAAACAAGGGGCAGGTTCCCCTAGTGTCTCATAGAACAATCTAACAAAAGTGCCCACTGAACACTCTTTAACCAGAACACAACCAATAGAAAACTTAAGCAAAGGGAGTTCATAATACAAGTAATAACATATTTTGTGAAGTGGCTTCAGAATCTGGTCGACTATTCCCATGCAACACTTTCCAACTTGGATTCTGAAGAATGCATGAGAGGATTCCTACGTTTAAAGTACCTGGCTCCTTTTGAAATGGTTGGCACCTGGTGAAAGTACAGAGGTTGAAACAGTGGGAACAAAGGAAAAAGAGCTAATGGTACAATTAGAGACATAGAGATGTACAGCATGGAAACAGACCCTTTGGTCCAACTCATCCATGCTAACCAAATATCCTAAATTCATCTAGTCCCATTTGTCAGTATTTGGCCCATTTTCCTCTAAACCCTTCCTATTCATATACCCATTCAGCTGCCTTTTAAATGTTACAATTGTGCCAGCCTCCACCACTTCCTCCGACAGCTTATTCCATACAAGCACTACCCTCCGTGCGTAAAAGTTGCCCCTTAGGTCCCTTTTAAATTTTTCCCTTCTCACCTTAAAACTATGTCCTCTAGTTTTGGACTCCCATACCCCAGTGTAAAGACCTATCCATGCCCCTCATGATTTTATAAACCTCTGAAATGTCACCCCTTAGCTTCCGATGCTCCAGGGGAAAAAAGCCCCACGCCTATTCAGCCTCTCCTTATAGCTCAAACCATCCAACCCTGGCAACATTCTTGTTAATCTTTTCCAAACCCTTTCAAGTTTCACTGCATCCTTCCTACAGCAGGGAGGCCAGAATTGCACACAGTATTCCAAAAGTGGCCTAACAAATGTCCTGTACAGCCACAACATGACCTCCCAACTCCTATACTCAATGCACTGACCAATAAAGGCAAGGCATGCCAAACACCTTCTTCACTATCCTGTCTACCAATGTAATTCTCAATGTGGGATTATTCCTGGACATTGAGTGAGCTGAAATACAGCCAGCAGATATTGCAGAACAAGTGGCAGTATTTGTGTTAACTTGAATTGTGAACTTTGAGGTCTCCAGATTAATCTCCAAGAAACTGCTATACTCAAACAGGATGGTGGGAGATTCTCCTCATGATTGCATTTATATATCGCTATTGCCAGTCGTCCTCCTATTTAAGGATGGCATCTCCTCGAGTTGGTGGGTTTTTGCTGTTTGTCTTCCTGTGACTGAGCAGTAGGATAAACTGGTCTTTGAGGGGATCCAGAGGAGGTTTACAAGAATGATTCTAAGCACGAAGGGCTTATCATTTGAGGTGAAGTTGAGGACTCTGGGTCTGTACTTGACGGAGTTTAGAAGGATGAGGGGAGATCTAATGGAAACTGATAGAATATTGAGAGGCCTAGATAGAGTGGATGTGGAGAAGATGTTTCCAGAAGTAAGAGAGACTAGGACCTGTGGGCACAGCCTCAGTGTGAAGGGATAACTCTTTAGAACTGAGATGGGGAGGAATTACTTCACCCAGAGGGTGAATCAGTGGAACATATTGCTGCAGCATTCTGTGGAGGCCAAGTCATTGAGTATATTTAAGACAGAAATAGATAGATTCTTGATTGGCAAGGGGATCACAGGCTACAGGGACAATGCAAGAGAATGTGGTTGAGAAGCATATCAACCATGATCGAATGGCGAAATAGTCTCGATGGGTTAAATGGCCTAATGCTACCCCTATATCGCGTGGTTTCGTGTGCAGCTTGTTTTAAAGAGTGCAGCAATCCTCTCACCATTCCTTGACTTTTAAAATAGTCCCTTTTCCATTTCAGTCCACAATCAAAAATACATAAAAATAGAAAACTACAGTTTTCAAACAAGTTGTCACCATTCTGAATAACTGGTAATATGCTTCTCCCTTGCTATGTTTTAAGGTGAACTTCACAGTGTCTTTGCAGCACTTTCTTTGGTCCGTACTGAAATACAGGCCATTTGCAAATTAATTAAATAGGATTTTGTAGGGCTGACACCTATCAGCCATCCTAGAGAAATTCCAACAGCAACGCCTCTACCAGATCCTCCAGATTTTACGGGAAGATCACTGAACAAACACTAGTTTTCTTCTTGAAGCCTACACTGCAAGCATTCAGGCAAACTCTGCAAAATTAACTTTAATGGACGGGCCAGAACATCTAGAGGGATTCAAAATGAAGATGGATAAATCTACTTTGTTGCACTAGTAACATCTAACATGAATCAGTAAGTGGACCCTTTTAAAAACATTACAAATATAAGAAAAAAAAAGGTCAAATAAAACTCAAAGAAGTTCAACTTAAGCTGCAACATTCCAATGACAGTTAATGGAAGTTTAAATCAGAATGCTGTTCAAAAGTTGCTCTGTACACTATTATGCCAATCAGTTGCAATTAACCTTTCAATTAATGGTGCTTCCACATGGGCATTTTTGGCTCAAAAATAGATAAGTTTTAGATTGGTAGGAACTCTGTGTTTATTATGGTAGCGTTGGGGAAGACTTAGTGATTAACTGAAGCATTCAACTGTGTAAGGTCTTCACAGGAGTGTGGTTAGCCCTCCATGGGGCTGTAGCAATCTACCTGGTCCTTACTTTCACTGGTGAAAGACTGCTCCATGGTAAGTACATTACAAGTCCAGTTCAGAGAGCAAATACAGCATGTGATGAAACATTCAGGAACTTGTTCAACCAGAATAAGCAACCCTGATGGCAATAAAATGTATCCATGTCATTTGGTCATATTTTTAACTTTATTTCTCACTTCATATTTTAAAAGCAGATGCAGAGGTTTTGTGAAACAACAAAGTATAACGTGAAATGGTAAAATGTGTAAAACGTAGGTGAAAATGTTGTCACTCAAGTTCTGAGATTACATTACAGATCTGAATCAGTGAAATAATGTTCTGTTTTACATAGACTCAGCATTGAAAGCTATTGCAATCTCTAGCTCTACACAAATATTTGGCAGGTCATTTCTTCCTGGCCACAGAGTGGACACTCAACAAAGGGGCTGTTTCATTTAAAAAGTTAACAATATCTTCAAGAATCAGGCCCAGGAAGGATTTATTATTTGCTTTTCTAACTGTGGTAAAACAGATAGCAGGAAATATAAAGTTGATGTAAGTATGATCAAAATCTTGGCTTACAGTCAGCTTGAAAACACACCAATCATAAATAATAACTTTCAAGTTGAATATTCAATTAAGATTTTAAAATGGATGCATGACACTCCCTTAAAAATAGGTTGATTTTTCAACCTTAGAATGGCTTGACAGCCAACAGGTTATGCTTGGAAAAGTGCAATCAATCATTTAACACCATCACAATGTGATGAATTCTACACGCCAGCTCCGCAGTGGTGTCAGGAGCGGTTCCTAATCAGGAGTCATCCAATGCAGACTATGATGGTTGCCAGACAGAAATGTTGCAACGTGACATCACCCAATGGAAGAGAAAGGAACGGCAGTGGACAATGGTGCAAAGCAATTTCAAAATGTATTGTCTTTAATGAACTGTGAGCCTACTTGGCTCAGATGTTTTAAAGCAGATCAAGTTGGCATTCTAACACACTGTCCTTAGTGACAGTAATGTGAAGATAATGTTAGTGGTGGAATTTCTGACGATAAAGTTCATAAGTCCAAAGTTCATACATAAACTGGTGAAGCTGCTTGCTTTTAGTATCCATATCAAGTGTCAAAATTGCTTACATATTTAAGTCAAGCCTAATGAATAGGGCTCCTCATGTGAGAAACTTGGTAAGTCAGTAAGCCACTGACTGGTG